CCACTCAAACCCCACCTTGAAGCCATCATAGAACAGAGGCTTGATTGCATTCCCCATCTACCAAGGGAGCAAGCACATGCCTTACCTTGAATGGTACCCACAGCCAGTGGCAGGATGAACAGAGCAGCCTCTACTGCACAAAGACATCTCCAAGAACCACAGGGCCTAAAGGTAGGCATAGAAAATCGTGACTGGCTGGATTCCAAGTCAGTAGTTCATGGAAAGAAATGACTCTTTCAGTTACAGAAGAATTGATTCTTTGACACAATTGGTTTTTATTTTTCCTATGTTGTATTAGTTTCTTTTCCCTTTTATCTTATTCCCTACAAACTTTTAAAAAATCTTCCTTTTTCATTCACCTCCTGTTTTTGCTTTTTTCTGTTTCCTTCATTTTCTTATTTATTCCTTCTGTACTCTTCTGAATCATTCTTAATTTTCTTTTACTCCTGTTATGACCCACTATCTTTCTCACCTTCTTCTCATACCCCACCACTTACTTTTCTAAATTTGTTTTTTTCATTCTCGAGTTTTCCACCCACTCCACCTTTACTAGTATAACTACCAAGCTTTATGAATCTCTAGATAAATAGTTAACTTTATGCTATTGCTGTTGAATACTGATCTATGATTAGCAGAGGTGAAGTTCCATTTAGTAGATATTTACTGTTGGCTGATAGTAGGTCTGTATTTGGTCTGTCTTAGTGTTCATATTATAATTACAGATCTCTTTTTATGGACAAGAATACTATTTTATTGGTCCATAGGATTTGTCAGTGCTCACATGTAGTTAATGCTATAATTGAAGATCATTTTATTTCTATAGCTAAGGTATCATAGCTGTTGTTATTAAATAGTTTTCTTGAGATGCCAATATCTAGATTGCCTAAGGGTCATTATCAACATCATGGCCCATTCCAGGAGAAATGGAGATGGAGCCAAACACTCTACAACCTTCCATGTCAAGAAAATGGAGGTAGCTGGATCCTGGGACAGAGGTAAGGGCCAGGAGGTTTGCCATGCCCAGAGGACAACATTGAAAAGTAGATGTTAATTAAAGAGCTCTCCATATGAGAAACAAAACTCTCCACTACAATAAACTTGCCTCAGTGCAAAACAAAATTGGAAACATAACAAAACAAGCCAACAAAATGCCTCCCAAAAATCCCAGCTTCCCTCAAGCTGATTCATGGGGCATCGAAGGGAAGAAACCAAAAGAAGCATCACACCCGATTATTTGAAATGGTATCAGGAGAGATAACAAAACAGTTCAACAAGGCAAAAGGCAGTCTCACAGAATATATAAGTAATATGATATTGAGCCAATTAAAATCACCAGTGAGTATAAGAATAACACTAATAAAAAGATAAAAGACATATGCAAAATGATGCAAAATGCACATAACCAGAATATAAAAAAGATTAGAGTTCATAAAAGAACTCAAAATATAAATTTGGGACAGTAAAGATTTTATTGAAAATATCAAGGGTGCTGGGGATATAGCTCACTGGTACAGAGCCTGCCTGGCAAGCGCAAGGTCCTGAGTTAGATTCCTAGTACCCTCCTCAAAAAAAAACAAAAACCGCCAAAAAACCAACAAAGTATCATAGGGGCAGATTAGAGGGACACAAACACAAACCAAGAACAAAACACAGATGACTAACATTGAAAAAATCATCACATGTTTATCTGCGGCTGATGATTGCAATGCTTATCTGTGGCTGACCATTGTAAGAGCATTACATGCTTTTCTGTGTACCTTGTAATTGAGAAATTGTTCTCTACTGTATCCTTATGAAAGTGTTACTCATACTTACATATGCTGACCTTGTCCCCTTCCCAGAAACACAGGCTAAGGTCTGGATTGGCCCAGACCACCAATCAGTGAAGCAGTGATTTTCAGAAATCAATTTACCTGATAATTATGAGTACATCTCATATTCACTGGGCCCTCCTGAGCAGGATGCCCCCTATCTTGCAGCACCACTCTGCTGCTAAGACAGCGCTCCTGCTTTCTCTGCATTTGCCACACTTCACCAGTCCTGACTCCCCCATTTCTTGCTAACAGGCCCACTTCTCCATTCTTCCCCAAAGTGAGGGCAAGGACCCAAAGAGAGGCGGAGGGTCACTCAGAGAATGCCCACCAGATGCAACACTATGTCCACTGTGAGGACAGAGTCTCAGAACTAGAAGACAGGGCTATTTTCAGTGACCAATTAATGAGTGATAACTTAAAAATGAAAGAACATGAGATCTGGTCGTGATTGCCCATGCCTGTAATCCCAGCACTTGGGAGGCTGAGATGGAAGGATCACTATGAATTTGAGGCCAGCCTGGACTACATAATGAGTTCCAGGGAAGCTGGAACCACATAGCAAGATGCTATCTCAAAACAAGAAAACAAACACCCCAGAAGAACATGAAAAATGGGTCCAACACCTCCTTGATGGTACAAGGATGACTCATTTAAGATTAACTGGAATTAGTGAAAAATCAGAAGATAGCACAAATAATAGCATATAAAACCTGTACACTGAAATAATAGCTAGAAACTTTCCAAATAAAGTAAAAGAATTTAACATACAGATAAATGAAGCATATAGAACCCCAAATAGCCACAATCACAAAACACACATCATAGTCAAAATCCTGCAAGTCCAAGAAAAGAACAGAATCTTAAAATGAGTAAGAGAAAAGCAATAAGTCATCCATAAGGGAAAATCGATCAGTATTATAACAGGTTGTAAACATAACCTTAAAGGCCAGGAGAGTTTGGAGCATTTTTTTAACACTGTATTCATTGCTATTTCTAATTATAAGAAACAGAACATCAGTCCCTTAGTTGTACAAAAATACCTGAAAGTTTACAATTAGCTTCACGAACCAAAGAGCTATGTAGAGAATCAAGCAAAGCACACAGAGTAAAAATGTTGTCTCAGAATCAACACCTTCTGCATTCCCTGAAAACACATACACGTCAGGCTACTGTATGGTCACTGTAGCTTGCACTACCAGATCACAAATCTACAGTGAGCTCATCCCAGCCCTACACAGGTGCAGCAGTCAGTCAGATGGTCAGGTATTAAGTGCAGAAAGAAGATAAAACAGCTAAGCTGAGGCACATGTTTCTTCAAGCTTTAGCAAATAAGAATATGTTCTGAAATTCTCGTACCTATTGATGGGGCTTCCCTATGAGCTGCTAATACCTAAAGCATTTGGCATTTTCCTTCTCGATGTAATTCAGGTTGCTACATGGAGTTTTCATTTAGAAAAAGCACAGGCAGAGACTCAAAAGTCAACAGGTTCCAAAACAACCCTGAGCTGTCCCCTTTACATTCATGTCAATACAAAAATAAAAGTCTAATGTCCACCCATCCCTGCCATGGGGCTGGACACCCACAGCCCCAGGGACAAGCTATTGTCATATGGAATTCCTAGGCACTCGTGCAAGATGGCCAGACAAGCAAGGGGTGTGGGTCATCACTTGGGCTGGTGTACAAAAGGCTATGTCAATCAGCTACACACAAAACCATGAATCGCAGTTAAGCTATTGTCACCTTTTAAATAAAACATCTGTTCATACCTAGAAGTACTGCACATCCCAGCTGTCCATAGCACCGTTGTAGGAGGCTAGGCACTGTGGAGACTGGTCTATGTAAACAGAAATACAATATCCTAGAAGTTTTAAAAATATTTTTGCTTCCATCCAGTGAAAAATGGTGTAACAGCAGCACTGACATCCCCCTCCCTAACACACAGACTGGTAGACATACAGATGCTACCAGGCATGAACTTAAAGATGAGCTCAGAGTCAACAATTGGGACAATTAACTGGTTGTGAAAGGAAAAAAAATGCCATCGAGCAGAGAGGGCCAAAAGCACGTTTTGCAAGAAGAATTCTTCACTCGCATACAGAGACATTTCACAGACATAACTGGAGTGTGGGCTGTAAACTGAGATACAGTGTTTCCACACCAGAGACTCACTGGTGGTTGGTCTGTCACTGGTCCAGAACTATGCATGTCACTGTCACCAGGAGGACATGGGGAAGCGAAGTGGGGTTGGACAGCAGGTCAGGGGCAGAGTCAGCTGATCAGTGCAGGATGTCACAGAAACCAGTCAGCTGTGGCCAAGAGCAAGGACAGAGTTCTGCCCAGAACAGTAATCATCTGCTTGTGCAGGGGGTCCTATCAGTCACCCTCACACCTGGCAACTCAGCTAAAGGGACATGACAAAGGATCCCAGAGTTCTCAACCTCGACTCAGTGCCCGTGAACAGAAGCCTGCAGAGGAAGAGCTGCTGGTTGTGACACAGGGGCCACCAAGCACAGGCCTTTAAGTGCCAGCCCGGTCCTGAGCTCCACGCCATGTTTCCTGGACTTTGTTATCACAGCAACCCACAGGTTGTGGCACCTAGCCAACAAGGTGCCAGTTTCTTTTCAGATCCTTGAACTGCTGGGGAGACCATCAGAAAAGGATGAGGGCCACTGCACGGGCCGCGGAGACACACGGTTAGGCCTGCATCCCCTTGCAGCAGGTCCTGTGCTGTGTGGGGACCACAAGTTTCCCAATGTGGTCATGTCTCCATCGCCACACAGAATTAGACACCTAAGGACAAAAGTATCAGATGTATGTGCACAGCAATGACCAAGACTGGGGTGGTAAGATTGTGTCCACGAGAAGGGCCAGGTGCTGACCACAGCTAACACCTTTTATTTAAAAAAAAAAAAAAAAAAAAAAAGCTGGTTTATAATTTGGGAGGCAAACCCACATGGTGACAACCGGTGGGAAGTGTGGGCGACCCACTGGGGAGCTCTGGGGACCCTTTTCAGCCTGAAGTGGGCCAAATGAAAATGCTTTCTGTCTCACACATGTGGAAAAGGCACATCCCTCCTACCATGGGCTGAGTACAATATTGACAACAAAAGGAGGAGCACAAAAGCGATCAATACAAAAAAAGTAAACATAGCAGTTTTAATTGTCAACATCATTCCAGAGCAAAAGGTGGCTTCCACTTCCTCTGCTCTATCTCCTTGCAAAAGGCCCCTGCCAAGACGCTCATTCCAGTTTCTTCTGAGCTTGTGTGGGACTACTCGACTCCTTTCTGCTCAAGGGGCTGACTGTGGCCTGTGGGGAGGAGGCAGTGCACTCTAAGTAGGGAAGAAGTGGATTCCCTAGTGCTGCCATGGGAAGAGACCAGCCTGGCTGAACTAGGAAATGACCATAGCCAGGACGTACTGATGTGGAGAGAGGATGGTGGTCAGAGAGAAGCCACACCTGCAAAATGATGGACGGGGCAGCAGGGTAGACTCCACTCACAGCAGATATGCCAGTGTTGTGTAACCTGGTTGTGGGCGAAAGTCGGGGGCCCAGGACTGTTTGCAAATGAGAGCAATCAGCAGAAAGGAGGCCATGATGCCCACAGCGGCACCTCCAAGGGACTCTTTGACATAAGGCGTTAAGGTCTTGGATCAGAAGAGGGTCTGAGAAGCAACAGCAGAGGAGTTCCTGAGCGCTGGAGGAAAGGATCTTAGGCAGCAATAGCCAGAGAGGATCTATCCAGGGAAGACTGTTGCCTGGACTCAGATCTCAGAGGCCCTAGGCTGAGGAGATGCACAGCCTGCCATAAAAGCCAGGGCCTGGTGCTGTATTCTAAGATGGCAGATCAGATGGGAGGGCCTCACATAGACAGGGCCTGAAGGAGGACTGTGGAACTGGAACCCTGCCCCCACCAGGCTGTGCTGCACTGAGGGTCCAGCTCAGGGGAGAAGGACCCCACCTTGTCAGATGCCCTCAGGTTCTTGTCCCAGGCCAAACGTCTTGACCACAGGATTCTCTGCAAAGAGAGCAGGGTGTTAACTTGGGACTTGGCACAGGGTTTCCAACAAGGCAAGACAACAATGAGAACAGGGCCTGGCTGGAAGAAGGTTGTGGATGGGGCCCCATGCAGGTAGAGGGAAGAGTAGGGAGACGGATGTTCATCTGCAGGATACTCAGGCTCAGCCCACACAGTCCTGGAGGAGCAACAGAGTGAGGGCCTGGGTAACAGCAGCTAGCTGTGTGCTCCTGATTCACACGCCCTCCCTTCTGTGTGGAAACAGGAAAGGATACAAATCTCTTGGTTCTGAAAGAACCACATTGGGTCTGCCATCTGGGCTGGGGTCTCCTTACCTAATCAGCCTGGTGAAGGGCTCATGGCACTCAGGCAGCACTGACAACAGGCACCCCCTCTTCAGGGTCATTTGGAGTCTGCATGGCAGTGCCATGTCACACATATGCTGAGAAACAGGGCCAGGTTTCCCCAGTGCCTTGTGTGACTCCTTCTCAGACCTAGACAACCACTTCCGCCTTCCCTTCCAGCCAGGGAACTGAGGTTAGGACTGGGAGTTTATCCTCCAGACCAAGTCAGAACACCCACACATGTCCCCCTCATCACCCTCCAGTTCTGATGACCAGTCCTTCTACTGCTGCTGGCCAGAAAGAAGGCTGAGGCAGGAAGGAAGGTGCTAACCAAGCATCTCCATCAAAAAGACCCAGCACGTCCTCCTGCAGCTCATCCTCAGACTCTGACAACCAGTCCCTCTTCCTCTTCTAGTTTCCAAGGCAAGAACTTGTGATCTGTACAACAACCTTTAATTATGGGATTTTTCTAACCAAAGGCTGTTACCACAACAACCCCACTGAAATCAGAGTAGATTAGTGGACTTAGGCCCTTCACAAAAGGAGAAAAAACTACATAAAAGGATGGTTAAAGTGTTAATATCTTTCTGAAAAGCAACTCTTATTTGGAATTGCCCTTTCTAAAGGTAAATACCAGCAATGGTTCTCTAATCATACCAAGGGACATAGGAAAGAAACAAAAAGAGAAAACACAATTCAGCTTGAAAGGGCTCCTTTAGCTCAAATTTGTCTTTTTACACCATGCAGTCCATGGGACACACCATCGCTGCTGTGGCACCCAGACAATATGCTCTCAACAAATCCCTTCCAGAGGAAGCACTGGCCAAACTGCTACAAAATGTCAAACTTGCTGAAGGGGTGTTTTGACGGTGAAGTACGCGGAACACAATTCCTCCCTCTTCTGGCCAAAGGCGGAATTGCGGCAGAAAGTTACAAACCGTCTGGTCCCAGTCCTGCGCTGACACTGGGCAGCAAGGGGAAGAGAACGCGGGGGGCGCGCTGGGGCCCGCAGAGAGCCGGGCCGGCGCGTCTCAGAGGGCAGACCAGAGGCACCCGGCTCGGCGGGATGGGGCGGGAGGCGCGCCGGTGAGGGCACGAAGGGCCGCTCCCAAGGGGCGGGCGTGGGTGCGCCCTCAGGCTCCCCGACCTGGGCTCAGCAGGTCCCACACAGGCGGCTGACCTTGAGGCTGCGGCTGCGGCAGCTCCGGGGCCACGGGCCTCCCGCCCGATCCGCGCTGGTCTGTGGAGCCGCTTCACCCGCGCGCCAGCACCCCTACCAGGGGACAGCGCACGCCCCGCCCACCACGCGCGGGCGGAATGGCGGGAACCCACAGCTCAGCTCCTCAGGCCCCGCCCACCACGCGAGGGCGGAATGGCGGAAACCGACACCTCGGCTATGCAGGCCCCGCCCACCACGCGAGGGCGGAATGGCGGGAACCGACAGCTTGGCTCCGCAGGCCCCGTCCACCGCAGGCCGCGTCCACCACACCCCTGCCCACCGGAGGGAAGCGGCTTCCTACCCGGTCCCTCAGTGGGGAAATTTTGGCGGCTACAGCCAGACCCACACCGACCGCCCCTGAGCCCTGCGTGGCGCAGGTCTCCCGTGCTCACCCCACCCGCGCCGGGTTGACGGCCTTGCGCACTGAGCTTGGTGGTCACGGTCTTCCCGCTCCTCATGCAGCTCCACCACTGCTGCCGCCACAGGCGTCTCCACAGCTACAGCCCGGGCCTACACAGCAGACTCTAATCCCATTCCTGGGCCAATGACATCGCAGCCACTGTGCACGGCCTTCACAACCTTGGACTGTCAGATCTTCTCCTCCCCCCCCGCCCCACGGGAATCCTTCATCCCAGTGGAGAAGCACCTTCCTCCAGGCTGGGCTCTAGTCCTTCCCTTCAGGAGCGGGCGAAGCCTCCTCACACCCTAAGACTCAGTGTTCTCACCGTGCAGGGCTGGAAGGTGTAGCCCAGAGGAGTGGATTAGCCAGGTGCCTACCCGGCCTGCCCTGTCAGCTCCTGCTGTCCCCATCAGGGGAGCTCTGCTCCTTCTCCATACATTCCTACATCTGGCCCCAAACCACAAGGGCAGGGAGCAGGTCCACAGACTGACCTCGACAGCAGGGACTCAAAGGGAATGCAGCAAAGCAGATGAACAGCTCTCCTCAGGGAAGGAGCGCCAGGGTGGGATGTGAAAGGCTTGGTCTCGGCTCCTCTTGAGGGATGGGGAGGCAGCACGGTGAACCTGACACGAAGATGGCCTTGGTCGTGTCTTTTGCTCGTGGGTGCTGGACCCTGGGGCCTGGGCTCTCTCCTGAGGCCAGGACAGGGCTCACACCCTGCACAGCCTCCCTGCAGGAGGAACACACCACATGGTCACTGTGAGCTCACCTTGCCCAGCAAAGGCCTGCCGGGCTGAGGGCTTCTCTCGTGCTGGAATTGATACACAATCCCATGTTGCTTTCAGGATGATTCACAGCCTTTCCCATTCATCACCCTCAGTCAACATGATCAGGACCCTGGTCAAGAACAAGACATTCCCAGCACCCCAGCATCTCCTGTCCACCTGTTGGCTTCTGCCCCAGCCCCGTGACTTCACCAAGACCGCTTCATTGTGCTGCCTCTACGGTCCTGTGCTGGGGGCAGTGAACAAGAGCTGCCGCCTGTCTGCTCCCTCAGTGCAGTGGTGCCCATGGTATCCCTCGATGTCTGCACCTTATGCACTCTGCATCCACATTTCTGTAGCTTGCTCTGCTGTGTGAATGCACAGCAATACATTTCCCCATGGGACGGGGAACATCTGAGGTGCTTCCAGTTCCAGGGGGAGCAGCATTGAGTCAAGGCCCTGGTTTTTCTTCACCCTGATCCCATCTATCATTCAGCTTTGCATCCAGTGACTTCAAGAGACCATCTCCAAATTGAGAAAAAGGGTGGCAGTGGTGGTGTGGCTCCCTACAAAGGTCTTGGGCTCAATCTGCAGTATGGGAAAAAAATTCCTGGTCTTCACACCCATATCAAGTTTCCTCTGATACCATATAAGGTTGTCTGTGAATCACTACAATAGAGCATGAGTGGTGTGTGATTTCTGGGATTAGTTCAAAAGACACTGCAGCTTCATTCTCATTCTTTCCGTCCCTCTGCTCTGGGGAATGGAAAATGGGTCTCCTCATGCCAAGGTCCCCATGGGGAGGAACTGAGGTCGGCCAATAGTAAGGAAGTGAGCCTTTAAATCTTCATCCCCATATAACCTAAATGTGACTCATAGCCCTGAGAAACCTCAAGAAAGACTGAGGCTAAACCACTGAGTCACAGCACTGATTCTCAGACCTAAGAAACTAAAAGTGATGGGGGATAGCTTATTACACAGCTATAATATATAGATTAAACAAGACCTCAGCCATCCAGCGAGGGTAAGGAGTGGCCTAGCCAGTGAGGAGTGAGAAATCTGTTAGTTTGCATGGCTGGCAAGCAACCCTTGAGGTGTCATCAGCATTAGGTCACGCACTTGGTAAGGTCTTGGCAACACCGTGACAGTCTCAAGTGGCAAGGGATTGCTCAGGTGAGCACATCTATTTTTGCTTTCTTCTCTACACCTCTAAAGGCGAATAACTCAAATAGAACCTGGGTTTTGATATTTCTTAGATCAACTGACATATTTTCAGTGCTGATTTCTAGTGGTTACTGCCATTAAGAGTAGATGGCCCCCATTTCAGCCTCTGGACTTAGCCTTTGGGTTTTGAGGCCTCAGTTTCACTACAATGGACCAAAGAGATATTATTAAGGATTTTTTTAGTGTGTGTGCACGTGTGTGTGTGTGTGTGTGTGTGTGTGTGTGTGTGTGCAATAGGTACTGGAGATTGAACCCTCAAGGGTATTTTGTTTCCAGTTCTTTTCATTTTATGAGACAAGGTCTCACCAAGTTTCCTAGGCTGGCTTCCCACTTGTGATCCTTCTGTCTCAGCCTTCCCAGTAGGTAGGATTGGACATGTGCCACGAAGCCCACTTTAAAGTGTTTTTATACCTTAAGTATTTTATATTTGAATACCTTAAATCTCAGTCATCAAATTAAGATTTTTTTTGAGACAGGGTCTTCCTCTGTAATTCAGGCTTGTCTTAAACTCACTATGTAGCCCAAGCTAGCCTCAAACTCACAACAATCCCCCTGCTTCAGCCTCGAGTGCTGGGATTACAGGTGTGCGCCACCACAGCCAGCCCTAGATTAAGATTTTGGCAAAGATTTAGCAGTTTTATTAAAAATAATCATCAGGAGTATGCGGTAGAGGCTCCTGAGTTCAAGGTCAAATGGGGGTACATAGTGAGTTCAAAGGCAGCCTGAACTACATAGCAAGATCCTTTCTCAAAAAGATTTTTGAAATTTAAAATTAAATGAAAATGAAGTTACAAGAAATAACCAACATTTCATAAAGTGCATGATAAGTATTCAAAATGAAAATATAGCTCGGTGCCTCTCACATTTTGTGTGTGTGTGTGTGTGTGTGTGTGTGTGTGTGTGTGTGTTTTAATGTGAGGAATAGACTGTTGTCCTAGACCAGTTTCAGGTAACATTATTTTTGTTTGTTTCCTAGTCCTAAACAATGAAATATTGTACCATTTATAATTTCTTTTAAATTTTTCTTTCAGGATGTGCTGAGAAAGTTTTATGTTCATATTGTCATACTCTTCAAATCTTCACCTATTAAAGGTGGATTTTTTAATTTTATAATTATTCCAGTATCATCCATTACAGTGGGTTCTCAAATGATCTGTTTTTTAGGTGTTTTAAAATTAATTTTTCTTATACAAAGAAATATATATATATGTATGTATATTTTCTGAATGTACTCCTACAAAAAAAAAACCCAATACTAATAAAGAGAAAGTTTTCCAACCCATTATATCCACATATCCTTATGCCTCCTTCTCTCCCAATTCACTGCTGTCAGCCTAATGTATTTTTTTCCAGTTGTTTCTATTAAGCAGTATACATCTACTCATTGTCTGTTCATATTAATAGGTGCATACCACAGTAAAACAGTTTTAAGGGGTTTGTCTTTGTGTATAATAATTACCAACTACATATTTTTCTGCAACTCAACGTTTCCTCTGCACTCCATATGTCTCAGGGAGCTTTCTGTTATTGAAACACAACTTTACAAACAACATATTCCATAGTAAATTTAACTATCCCCCCCCCGAAAGGGGTTCCAGTCCCTTCAGATGTGAACTCTAAAAATAAATCTTTATTCAACTTAATGTTGACAGGAAATCTCCTCTTTACTAGCTCAGATTTTAAACATGTTGTTGCCCTGTGCCTCAGTTCTTCCTTTGTAAAAGTCTTGATGACTCCTCACCCACAGGACTGGGGTGCCATTGCATAAACTGACGTAGCTGTGACAGGCAGGCTCACTGTAACTCTTCTCCAAGACCATTATTTTCTTTGGTTAGCCTTTAGTCTTGGCTTCTAGGAGACTTGATTCTAGCTTACTTGCACCTTCCTCAAAGCACAGCAGGGAGAGAACCATCCTTCCTTGGGTTTCAGTTTCAAGCCTAACTCAGGCACACACATCCCCAACACCCTTCCGTCAGCCCACCAGGGCACCAGCCACCTAGAACTGCCCTGCTCTCTCACCATCACTCAGGTGGAGCCTGTGGCAGGGAGTGATGCTGGTGATGCAGCCACAGCCCACCCTTCTCGGTCCTTTGCTTTGCACTTCTGGGTCTAAAACCACCCCACCCCCTCAAACACTGGCCTCAAACACAGCTTCTCCCAGGACCTGGCTCAGTAACACCTCCAGGGACAACCACAGGCTTTGCAGCTGACCTGAAAGTGACTGTAGGCAGGTAGACGTTTACCCCAGACACCAGTCACCTAAGCAGGACCCTCTTACCTGAAGAGGAAAGGCGGGATGCTCTGGCCCTAGGGTTTTGGGATGTAGTCCTGAGGTGGAAGCACACCTGGTTGGAGGACACAAGTGGTGGTGGGGTTTGGTGCCTGAGTTGCCAGGAGAATCCCCGCACCATCCTCTGTGCCCCTGTGGGCTACCCTACAGAAAGTCTAAAGTTCTCTGACCCTGAGGTCAAGTCTCACTTCCCACTCATCAGAAGTAGCAGCTGGGGGCTGGGGATTTAGCTCAGCAGCAAAGCGCCTGACTGGCAAGCACAACGTCGTGAGTTCAGTTCCCGGTACCGGAGGGAAAAAAAAAAAAAAAAAAAAAAAACACAAACAAACAGAAGTAGCAGCTGATGTCCTGCCA